CGCAAGTTAGGCAGTGAAAAAAGTTTAGAGATGGTCATGAGAGGTATATATATATAAATACCTAAATATATAAACGCATTACGTAAGAAGGAGAAGGATTCGATTGGTAGGGCAGGGATTAATAAATGAATGAGACCTTTTTCAGTGCAGTTCAATAAAATGAAATGGCTTCATCGCTTGTTTGCCTAACGAGCGTCCAATTAGTTTTTCATTCATTCTAATAAATGAATGAAATGTTCTGCGAATAAATACTTTTGAATTGTTAGCATTGCGTGCCGTTCATCCTATGTGGCTCTTCTTAATTAGATTAGTGGTTAGATGTTAAGTTGGCTTAAACGACGACGATGATGATGATGATGATGTGGATGACGATGAGAACGAGAATGATGATGATGATGATGTGGATGGATGATGACGACGACGACGTTGATGATAAAAAGGCCTGCAAATTAGTCGAAAAATTGTCTCGTTACTATTGAAGCCTTATTATTATTTATTTGTGCTATTTATTTATTTAATTATTTGAGTATTAATTCATAATCATATATATATATATATATATATATATATATATATATATATATATATATATATACATATATATATATTTGGTCTTATTTGGTCAATATGGTCTTATTTGCAGCATGAATTCGAAAAATAAGTTTATTTTGAATTTTAATAAACTAAAAAACTTTAGTGAGAAAAATCGAAAAAACGAACTACAAACATATTAACGCCAAACATTCGGTAGAATTTATAGAATATTGTAAAAATTATGGTCTATTACCAACATATATATATATATATATACTTAAATTTTATCTATATTTAAATTTTATATATTTAAATATATATATTATATATAAATATATATGGCAACACTTTAAAAATAAATAAATAAACCCCAAAAAATCGTCTTAAAACGGCCTTTAAACAACATTTGTTTTCAAGCGTTTACGGTAGACAAAGCCTTTGTTTGTACTGGGTACACCTATTACCATCATTTTTTTGCCATTTTTCAAAAACCTCCCTGTAAAACCTCTAATAAATTTTCAAATAAAAAAAACCTTGTCGAAACAACTTTAAAAATTTCTCTTGGCACGAAAATTCAGCTCCAAAAAAATTTAAATTTAAAAAAATAAGATGTTAACTTGTCGAGACCTTTTGAAAAACTTTTGAAAAATTACAAAAATTTAAAATTATGCCCGTATAAACTTTAATAAATTTTCAAAAATTAGCCAAACTATTTTTGAGAGTGAAGTTGTCGGAAACAACATTAAATTACCATCCAAATAACACGATTGCTAAATAAAAAAAACCTTAAAAAATCGCCTTAAAACGGCCTTTGTTCTCAGGCGTTTAGGATAGAATGGATCTTTTTTTGAGTGGAGACACCTATTAAATTTTTGCTATTTTTCAAAAATCACCCCGTAAAACCCTTTATAAATTTCCAAAAAAGACCTTGTCACATATTAACATTAAATTACTACCCTATAACTTTTATGTAGATAATAATAATGAAAAAATAGGTAGTGAAAAAAAATAGCTATTGAATCTTCTGGCTTATATTGTGGCCTCATGAATATAGAGAATGTCTTATTTTATAATTAAAAAGTCAGTTAATCTCTATAGCTCTAAAATCTTGATTATTTTGTCAATTGTACTTATTATTACCTCCATATGATTATATATGTTAATAAAATTACTATTCTTGAGCGAGAGATTTATCTATAACACTAACTCCAGTAAATTTTACCATTATATTTGATATAAAAGAGGTGATTTTCTCTTCAACTTTCTTGTTTATTTCGAGTAATGTATTATTCTTTTATCAATTTATATGTAAAAAAAGATAAATTTGTTGACCGATTTACTATTTTAGTATTGCTATTTGTACTATCTATGAATCTATTGGTTTATATTCCAAACATAATTGTCCACCTTTTAGGCTGAGATGGGCTAGGAATGGTATCATTTATTCTAGTTAATTATTACCAAAATTCTGATTCCATGGCTGCTGGAATAATTTCAGCCATAACAAATCGTATTGGTGATGTAATAATTTTACGATCAATTAGTAAAACCCTGAATCAAGGTAATTGAAATGTAATATCTATGTGGGTTCTTGATAACTACTTTTGAATACAAGTATCAATAATTACAGTCGCTGCACTAACAAAAAGGGCTCAAATACCATGTAGTAAGTGATTACCAGCAACTGTAGCTGCTCCAACTGAAGTGCCAGCCCTAGTTCACTCATCAACTTTAGTGGATGCGGGGGTGTTTTTATTAATTCGTTTTTACCTACTATATGTAGCAATCATGGCTTTAACTATAGCAGGATTATAAGCTACGGCTGAATGCGACATAACAAAATTATTGCCCTATCCACATTAATGCAATAAGGATTAATAATGACAGCATTGGGTCTTAATTTAGCATACTTTCACATAGTATTGATAGTACATGATATACAATTGAAAATAATAATAACATTTGTATTATTATTAAAAGCAAAAATGAAAAATTAAGATAAGAAGAAAATACTACTACTAGTAGTAGTAGTATTAGTATCACCACTACCACATTTACCACAACCACTCCTTCTACTATACCGCTACTACTACTTCTATTACTACTACTAATTCTACAAAAATAATAAGAAGAAGAAAAAGAAAAAGAGGAATGACAATAATACAAATATATTTATAAAAAAAATTAGTAACATTAATAATGCTAATTATTTATTAGCAGAGGAAATATTTTTAATAGGGAAAGCAAACAACTACGATGCTAAAGTTAACAACAAAACGATTACCACAGAAAAAATTATTATTGTTATTTGCATATAATAGTTCTGTTATTATTATTGTTGTTGTTGTTATTGTTGTTGTTGCTTATATAATTGTGGTTGTTGTTGATAAAATTTGTATAGTTGTTATTATTGTTATCATTATTTATCATTTGGTTGGAAATTATAATCAGGCAATACAACCAGACCGGAGGATTTAAGGCGGGGTAAGCTGGGGACAAGCTCGGTTACTGCCTCGGGGTCATTATAGAAAATGGGCCCCTACAAAAAGTCTAATTCAACTTTAACATAATTGCCCGTAGAACACGTTACTTGCTAAAAACGCCTGACTTCATAAGGAAATTGTGCAATAAGTGAAAAAACACTCCCCAAATTTTTTAAAAAGCCAATCGCAATCCTTACAACGTTGATGCAAAAAATACTTCCACGGTGCCCCATGGTTTCGGCACATATAGGTACGGCCATGGATATTATCATATCGAAATTGTTTTCCATTTGATTTAAGTAACGTTATTGCGATTGCGAGCAGCAACATCTTTTGTGTAACATCATCAAAGAAACATCACATTAAAAAACATAACTGAATTACGCAACAATAAAAACGTAGCTTAACCTTCAAAACAACATCAACATAAAACAGCACCACCAGGAATTACATCAGTGCAACTTCAACAATGCAACATGAAAGTCATAACATCAACATAGAATATCATTAACATTAACAACGTATGGCGACATCAAAATCTAAAAATTGATACAAATCATTGTCAACATCATCACTCAGCATCAACAAAACAACACGACATCAATGTCATCTCTTTTTTATTTTCTCTCTCTCTCTCTCTCTTTCTTTCTTTTTTTTTCTCTCTCTCTTTCTCTCTTTCTCACTAACCAGAGTGCACCTACGCACGTGACCAATTTTCATCATGGCTCATTTCCTCCAGTGCGACCATTCATGCAAAAATAATTTTTAATCGTTCGCACCATTTCTGTTATGGATTTAATCCAAGTCAGTTGCAGTTGTTTATTTTTTGATTTTTTTTTATTGGAAAGCTGGACGCGCTATAGTTAGATCAATCAATCTATCCATTTACTTCGTCAACCAGTCAATCAGTTTATCTGTTTTTAGTTTTTACAAATTAAAAATGTTTATTATGAAAATTTAAAGTTGATTTTTTAGGTGTAAGGAATAAATTTGTTACAAAACATTTACATTATTGTTATTAAGTAGCATTTATAATATTTATAAATTATAGATATCAGTTATCACCATAGAGATTGTAATGTAGATTAGAGATTGTATCGTCTGAGATCAATTAAAATACTTTTTACAAATAAATTACAATTTTACTTACTTTCAAACTTCTTTTGTAAACACAGATCTTTATCTATAAACAGAATTAAACCTCTGCTATGTAGTAAAATGTAGGCGGGAATGTGTTACATTTACTACTGCATACGTTCGTTCATGAACATTTACGCAACAAGAATGGGCAGTGGGGTAGTTTGAATATGTGCAAACCAGATGTTTTTTGAAAAATTTCACTAGACCATGACATATATGGGAAGGTTGATAGAGAACATGTCAAGTCTGTTGCATATGGAGAAGGTTGTTTTGAGCAGCTTTGGGAAATTTTGGGAAAAAAACACAAAAATTACAGAAAACAATTTAATATCTAGAAAGATCATTTTAAAATTCATCTTGACAGTGTTTTGACATTTTCTTCAGATGTGGTATTTTTGTTCGTGTCTGTCACATGAAAATTATTCCCTTCAGTCAACGAAAAATTTCTCGTAAAAAGTATTAATTTCATTCTGCGTTGTAATTGACAACAAATTCTATACATCTATCAATTCGTTAATTCGAAAAACACCTAAATTTTTTTTAAATATTCAAATGACACAATTTTTCAAACTGTTCCATCGGTGTGAACTTTTCAGAAGCAGATTTTTGTAAACGTCATAGTCGATAAATAAAAACATGTAAACTCTAAATATAAACACTTCCAAAATCAACATCTGACCAACACGGTGATCATGTTTCAGCAGGCAACGTTTATAACCATTTGAATTAAAATGTTGCTAAAAGTAGGATGGCTCTATAAATATGGTAAAATGACCAGTTTATATAAGCAGTTTAGTTTAATTGTTAAAAATAAGGTACACACATGTTTTCAAAAGTTTAACGATGGTCGTATTAATTATTCATCCAGGCAGGTTCCTGCGTCTCACGTGGTGGTCTCACTACTGGTGTGTCCTCAACCAGATCACGTGCTGCATCAGCTGCTACAAATCTCCACAAAATCCAAAAAGAATAAAAGATTTTTATTTGAACGGCAAACATCAAGTCATCTTAGGAGACAGGGTTCCTTCTTAAACTTTTACTATTCTTATTTAACGAATTATTACTCATTTATTTATCCAACTAATGATACCAAAAAATTTTACGAGAAATAATTTATAAATCTAGCAATTAGGACCAAAGAAATTAATATGATAAGTATAGTTGGTACACAGGTTTAACGTGTTTAACAAGTTATTGAAGTTAAAATGACTGTAATGATGGTAGATTAATTTGACCCACCATCTTGTTACTGTTTAGTAATTAGAGAATTTTTATCCATGATAAGAAAGCTCTTAGTTTAAATTTTACTTAAATTTTGCATAATTTGTCAAATTGTATTTTGTATGTTCTCAAGATATTTGGTTTAAAATACTTTTAGTGTTAGGCCACTTTTACAGATTATTTAAATTTTTTAAATTTTTTAAAATTTCAAAATATCAGGTGGGTAGAATAAGCTTACCTCCTTGGTTGAGTCGTGACAACATGCTCAGCATTGTTTCCAACAGGAAAAAAATTATTTTCTGCTGTGGCCACACAGGAGAGGCTGAGTAAGAAAGTTTTCATCTCTCTGATGTAACTTCAATCTGCGCATATATTAATTACTATAATTTTAAATTTTCACTATTTAAATGATTTATATTTATCAAATCAATTTTAGACATTATTTAAGCGGTTCAGGGCAACTTATCTGATTGCGTATTGATCGATGCTCGGAAGCACAAACCACATGAAATTTGAAATAAATATTATTTGTAGTTCGCCAGCTCATTTATAACATTTTATCGCTATTACAAAATTAAGATATCTCAGAGTTTTATAAGTTTCATAAAGAGAACGAGATAAATTTATTTCGTAACAAATAATGTTTACATGTCCAAGAAACAGCAATAATTTTGTTTTTAAAATAATTAGTGGATAAAAATATTCAACCGGCTGCTTTTAAGAGTAAGTTAAAACACTGCAGGCCTAATGGTCAAGCCAGCGCTGCAGGCTCCTCAAAGAATTGTTATATTAACAATTGTTGTAATAAATTTTTGATTTTTCTGCTACAGAGGTAATAAAAATTCACACATTAATGTTTTATCCCGGTTTAATGAATCTAAAAATTGTAGAGCATGGAAAGAAGTGCTGGATTCATTTAGGACAGAATATTTTCCCTGGAGATCAGCAGTAACAAACAGAATTATTAAAAATCTTCACAAACTACCCGAGGAAGCTCTAAACCAATACAATCAGTCATTGTACGAGCATGGAAGATTTAAAAGGCCTGGAGAATTGCTGGCTCATCATTTTAAACATTTGGGAATAGATGATAATTTTGACGACTTTGAGCAACTCTGTTTCTGCAAAAATGCAAAGCCAGCAGCTGAAGAACAACAGCTGGAGGAAATATGCTCAGGTTGATAAAAAATTAAATTTATTTAATTAAATTTTTCTTATTTGAAGCCACAAATTTATCGGCTTAAAATATTTTAAGTAGGCATTACAAAAAAATTATTTTTTAAAGTCCTTACTTTTTACAAAGTCAATATTTTGTTAAGTAAATTTTAACAAATTTGGCAGAATAAACTAAAACGAGTAATTTAGATTTCATTTAAAAAGCCATCGCTCAGTCTGAATAACAGTGTAGAAAAATTATGAAGTGTAATAATATTGAACATTATTTCAATGCAGAATCTTATATGGTGCCAAATTATGCACAAGCTCAGTTCAATAACATGGCACTTGCACCATACTATGGACATCCACAGATGACTATGCCGTATTTTCAACTCGGTAAAACATTTAGAAAAATTGTTTTTCAACAGTTTTGATAATTAACTTTAATTTAACCCAGGACCCGGTGCATATCCATATTCATTTCATCCATTCAATTTCCATCCTCATTTCAACTCAAATTACTTTGGTTAGTTTTTTATAACTTCAAATTTATATTTTTTTACAAAATTTTTCTTTTTAATTGTAAGGTAAATATACATATCTTTGTATAAATATCAGCGTAATCATTGTAGATATATCAAAATAATCAAATAAATGATTATTTATTAATTAATTTTTACTGATGTGTATGCAAATAAATGCAATAATGCAATAAATGACAGATGGCATGGGAACTGGTGCGAGCCAACAACTGCCGACTTTGAGGGGCTCTCTTGAAAGTGGAAAGTCAGCCATCGTGGATGCCGTGGAAAGCCGAAAAAGCCAAACAGATCACGACCACGGCAAAAAATACGTTGGAATTTATCGTAAAAAAAATAATAGGCATGCCAGGTTAAGCTGCTCAGGAAAAAATGGAAAATGTTACCTGAGTTGTGATTCAGACTGCAAATCAAAAGATTCATCGTGTTCTTCGAAAAATAAATCTTCAACAAGTTGTGATGCTAGTAGTGCGACTTCTTATGATTTAACAAAATTAATTGAATCGCTTGGAAAGCCACTTTTCTTAAAATTTAAACAAAAAGAAGCCGACTGTGATACGGACGGTACAACTGAAGAAAAATCATCTATCTGAACAAATTATTCGTTTCATTATTTTGAAATCTAAAAATAAATATTGAAAATGCGTATTTAATTTTTGTTTACAAAATGTTTGTCTAACGAACAGCTTCGAAAATAATGTTATTTAAGCCGTAACATCTCGGTGACAAAATTTTAATTTGAATAAAATTATTAAAAAGCTAAAATTGAAGTAATTTTCTATCATTCTATTTAAAAAAAACAAGTTCACTGAAATATGTACAAAGACCCATGTCAGCCATGTAACAAACGCCCATTTCCCTGTCCAAAACATGCAGAACTAGCGTTGAAACCAAGTGAACCGCGACTGCCACCGACTCCAGTTTATCCTCCTGCGAAGAGGGACAAGCCAGGTAGAGAGAGATATAAACCAGAACTGCAACAGCCTAAAGCAGAGTCCACTGAAGAATTTATAAGATGTAAATGTCCGGCGACCACTGACAAAGAACTGATTGTGAAACAAATTGCTCCCTACAAAAAATTACTGGATGAATTAGTTTTGAACGCGTACATATTCAAAGTTGGCTGGATGTACAAATACAGTAACACAAATTTATATTTAAATCTCGCAAAATTCTGCAAGACATTTCTATCGGAATTTTTTAAAAATTGCAGGCCGGTTGTATCCGTTACAGTGGTGGAATAAGTACTGGTTCGTGCTGGATCATTTGAACATGTCACTGAATTATTATAAAGATTCAAACAACCCTCGCTCAATCAGAAGATACCAAATCTGTAGGCAAACTAAAGTGATAACGGGAGAAAACGTGAATCAAATTAGCAAACTTATTGATTAGCCTGTAATAATTATTTGCATTGTCGTTGCACGAATTTTATTGGTTGCCCAGCTGGAGCTAGCATTATCTTCTAATAAAATTTCATCATTTAATTAAATTCACCAAGTGGTTAACTTTGTTGTAATTTTATTAAAATTTCATCTTCGAATCATTTTGAAGATGCAGAAAATCACATTGCCACCATGGCTGACCAAAAATAGCATGCTGCTGTTGAAAAAGCCGTACAAATTTGGCCGATTTGGACAGTCCTACATGCTTCTTTGCTGCGAAACTGAAGCGGAAACTCAGTATACATTTTTTATGTTTTTCAACAAAATTTCAGTAAATAATATAGATAGATTTGTTTTTAAAATTAAGCGAGTGGAAATTAACTATCGACACGTTGATGTGTCCTGTGACGGCAGCCAAGCCAATTCAAGAGCAGTACGAAGATTACCTTACTGGCCATGGTTGCTCTTCAGGGGAAGAAACCGAAGAGAAGGATTGCGATGAAATTGTTGACCAGATGGAAAATAATCAAAATCCTCAAAAACGGAATACAGTTGGTAAAAAGTAGATTTTTCAAATACGGGATGTTAAAGTTGAAACTGGTGAACTTTTGGTATGAAACTGACAACTTATTAAAAAATTACTTTGCAGTCTATATAGTTAAAATTGAAAAATTATCTCTGAAAAACAAACGAAAAAATTTAAATGTTTATATAATGAAAAAAAAGTTTGGCTTTTGCGTTGAAAAATAATTCAACATTTTAAATAATCAAAAAGCTATAAAACTTTGTAAATGTGGTTAGCATAACTTAGCATGTACTTCTACATTACAAAACAAAGACTTCATAGTTTTTAGCTATTTTGGTTTCAAAATTTTTGGCTTTTCTTTAAATTGAATTTTATCCTGCTCATTTAATTTAATGACATTTTATTCCATATCATTATTGGAGGTTTGGTCTCATTTGCGTTACTCCACATGTTATTTTTACGTTTATATGTTAACTATTTTATTACATGTAGAACACATATTTTCATCTTTTACTACGGACATACATTAACGGACATACATCGTTTGTAGCTTGCTGTTTAAATGAAATTGTTTTTTGTGCTTTACCCCTGGTCGCTCGCTTTCATAATATCATAATTAATATAAATAATTATTATCAAATAATATCATATGTATGATGTATCCTTAAAATTTGGTATTCTACATATATGAATAATATATTTATATACTATACATATATATAGAATATAACAATGTATAGAATGTAAATACTATATATATATATATGTATATCTATATATATATATATATATATATATATAATATTATGTAACAACAACAACAACACAACAACACACGTTTAGACGGCATTTTCCCCGAGATCGGGGGTTGCCGTTTGGCTACCTATGATGAAACCGAAATACCCCTCGACTCCATCCACATCTGTCACTCGCCTCAGTACCACGCAACCCCGCTTTCACCCTGTCCTTCTCCACCTGCTCTCTCCATCCCAACCGCGGACGACCCCTTCCTACCACTCCTTCAACCTCGAACTCCAACGCTCGCCTAATCCCGACCCTTTCATCCCTTCTCAACACATGTCCATACCACCGCAATCTCGATCTCCTTATCAATGTCACAATGTCCTCATTCAGTCCCATCATTGACATCAGCTCTGTACTACTCCTCCTATCCTTCACTTTAACCCCACACATCATCCTCACCATAGCTCTTTCAGCCCTCTGCAGTACACTTTCCTCCTCTCTCCTCAAAACCCAAGTTTCACCACCATATATCATCGCTGCTCTCACACATGCTTTATATACCCTCCCTTTCATCTTCACTGACCATTTCTTTCCACACAATACCCCACCCAGTTCCCTAAATTTCATGGATCCCACACGAACTCTAGCCGTAACTGCGCTCAAACATCCTCCATC